TCATATAAGCTTATTCCTGGTCTGTTGAGTCCCCCAGAAAGAGTACGCCGCGAGAGGCATTCCTATTCCAAAATCCCCCCGTTTCAATTACCATAGAAGACGTGTTTTGAGAATGCGACAAGTGTCGCAAATTCAAGCGAATGTTCGCATTCTAGGTGTAGGCATAAGAAGAAGACAAATGCGGCAAACAACAGTTATTAGGGAAGAGACCATCATTAGCAGCAGTCCGGAGATGACCGCGCAGGACTCTGTATGCCCGCTCCCAATCGATTTACCGATCGCATGAGCTCTCATCGGAGGCCTGCCTTCGTCTTGTGCGTGCACAAGGGTCCTTCATTATAATTCAAAACATATACAAATCACCGCCGCGTCCTGATGCCAGTATTTGACCCCACCAAGCACACAATCATCAGGCTACAGAAATTGCGTCCTTTTGTTCGAATCGCCAGCAAGGTTGCAATAACAAGTTGCTGCCATCATCGTTCAGACAGAAGTCCGCAGTGGTGGAAATTTAAGTAGAAATAAATAGTGAGGTCGCCTAATAGCGAAAGGAGTTGTTTTAATCATGGTATTCGTCTAATAATAACCAATGGGAGTGTTTCGCAAGTTTTCTCGGTCTATAGGCTTTCATTACTGACCAATAGGAGTTTCTCTTGGTCTTTTCGCATGCTTTTCACTTATATTTTAGTTCAGTAAAAAAATTACAAGCGGCTTAACTTTATGTTCTACTGCACACTTATCACACATAACCTGCTCTTTGTGCGACTTCTTAAAAAGCACACACAGGCAGTACTTATAGTATACTATCTATTGGCCTTAGCAAACATGAGTAATACAAATCAGCACTTTTAGAATAGGCACATATCTATAGCAGCAGTATCTTAGTCCGTACGGCTCGATGGATAGAGTTGAGAGTGCGGAAACCAAGGCAAACGCTCTTGTGCTCAGTGCCCTAAGCATGTACTTACTCGAAATAGTTAAAATCCAGATTCACACTCCGTGTTGAGACCAAGGTGGTATGAGTCCTGGCCTTAACTTCAAACCAGCTTCATTTCTGACAAATTTAGGCGTCAGAGAAATTACTGATACTACTAAGACTCGGCTACATTGATCGTCAGTAGTAGTAGAAACAGAAGCAGCCTTACCAGTCTCGGCCTCCCTGGGGCTGTCTTCACACCTACTATGAGTGAGTGATGGCAGATCGTACAGAAGTACCCGTGCAAAGTCTACTGTCACTTAAGACTAAGTTAGGCGGTGCTTTGGCTTGCATTGGAGAAAGCAGCCCACGCCGGACCCCGCTTTGTCTTCGAGACTCAAGGGGAAGGTGAACAGTGTGGTTGGCGCTAACTACGCCCTCTATCACTTTAAAGCTAAGCCCTGAAGCCATCACCTTCTGTACCAACCTGTTGGTGCACTTGGTCGACTTCGTCGAAATCGATGGTCGAACACATACACACCTGCTCTTTGGTCAAGCATTAATCCTCTACCCACGAATTCCGTCACACTCACACACACACTTCGGCGGCCCTACGATTTATTCCTACCGAAATTTGAACACTGCGCGCGCGAAAAAAAAACGGTCCCTGTAACGGATCCCTGTAACAGCAAAACGTGGCTATGAGAAGAATTCAAAGAGAGCAGTAGGGGGGAGGGGGGGGGCTGGGCGGGGAGCATACGCAAGCTTTCAATAAACTCTCTCTCCCTCATCGGACCACATTACATTTGCATGGGAACGGAACCGCCAACTGGATTCCCCCGATGGGAATTGTTGCAACTTTAAAGCATTCGAAGAGCATTTGTGGATGACGTGGAAGAGGTAGGCCGTAGGCGTAGATGGCTGGCGTCAACATGCAAAGACCTAATCAATTGCTGGGGATGACGCAAAATCGGGGAAGGACGAGTTTTCTGTGGCAACAAAAAATACACACACACGAATTTTAATTAAGTCGGCTTCCACCTGGCCGGCGCCTTGGGCTGTGTGCGCATGAAGAAGAAGAAGAGGCGAAAAAATGAACACTACAAAAAAGATTCGCTTGTACTACGCAGCACAGAGGGCGAGGCAATCGTCGTTTGCCCACCAACAGCAGTATACAGCCAATTAGCAGTGGTCCTGCACACACACACCACTGGAGAGACGCCCAGTCACACTCGGGCAAATTAAGCAATTGCAACGGCAGAAAGCATAGAC